AGCCGCTGATCGAAACTGATTTGCATTAATCCATTCTGAAAAAGCGCTCTTTCCAAGTCACTCATTCGACAAGGCTAGTAACCTTCGAAGGAGAGGACGGGAGACTGAAGCACTCATGGATCAAGAGGAGGCCGATAGATAATTACTTTCGGCACCCTAGTCTCTATGGCAATATGCAGGTTGTTGCTACAATGTGGTAACTTTGGTTGGAAATAGGTGGGCTAGTGATGCGATTTACTACGCAGCTCGCACTGTTGCAAGCTATTATCTTCACGTAATAACGTACGCTTAGTAGAGAGCCATAAAGGAGAGGATATATGAGTCTGAAATGGCCGGTGGGTAGAGAAATCAGAATTGTCCGAGCACATGGCGAATACGGGGAGCTCAGATAGGCTGGCGCAGAGCCAAGCGATTCTCCACCTGTGGACAGACATGTCTGGAGTAACGACAGGATGCCAAACCTATATAAAGAATTAAAGGAGAGATTGTCTGAAAGAGATATATATGTATATATATATATATGAGGCTTTCATACACGAACTATACGTGTGCAAACAAACACTGTCACGCATGGCAACTTTGCAGTTTTAAACACTCGACTAACTTAGAAGATGCTCTTTCACTGCGTCCCACGGAATGAAATAACGTCCCATCGAGTGGTAGAAGATCAGAGTCGATGGACTCGTGCCAAAGCCATGTTCGCGAAAATCCAAGCTCCCCGAAGGTCCAGTTGGTCCAGGACCGCGAAGATGCCCTCCAGACGGGAGTGCTTGAGAAGAAATGTGGCGCATCCACATCCGCCCGTCGGAAGGATGAACGGCTGGATTCACTGATGAATGGCCGGACGGATGGATGGATGGATGGATGGACTGGTGGACGGGTGCAAGGACCGACGGCGTTGTATGAATGGATGAGTTGGCAGTCGGATGCACTGGCGGACGAGTAGACGGCGACGGATGCAAAGATGAACGTATGGAATGTTGGTTGGTTGGATGGACGGATGGGTGGGTTGGTGGATGGACAAATGGACGAACAGCGGAGCGATGGATGTACGGAGGCCTGGCGACGGATGGACGGCAAGAGGCTGTCCTGCTGTCTGGGCGGGTTGTATTCACGTCAATTTGCCCAATCCACCGACGAACGGCTCGCACCGAGCGCCCCCCGTCGTCAAGGCGATTCCCCACAGACAGCCAAGAGTGCACGTTTCTCTGTCGACCCAATGCACGACTGGATGCCTAGTCAGGGTGGGTTTCGTGCTAGCGCGCCTACACTACGCGAATGTGTATGCAGTTGAGAAAAGACTGCATTAGCCCACATGACTGTACCATAAATACTTCACAATCAGCCAGAACACAATGTCAGGACTTACTTCACCATCTATTCACCTTTTTCCCCCACTTTCTAGCCACTTTCTAGCCTACTCCATACATCCAACCCAACCTAATCGACCCGTTGAACCACTGCATACCATTTTCTTTAATAAATCAATTGCATCTATTTATTTATTTATTTCAATCATTCATTCATTAATTTAGCCGTTTGGTTTATCTGCTTGATTTGCCCTCTCTGTTTGTATACAAATACCATTTTATTGGTCAACTCATTCTCTCATCCCCTTCTTGTTCACCACAATTCACGTCGTTTATGCAACACTGAAATCATGAGATAATTTAATCATGCCATTGCCTAATTATCGCCCTCTTGATGTCCTAACAACATACACGACGATCACTAACAACCAATTGTTCTCTGCGGATTTGTGCGTTTGTTCGTGTATTCTGTCTATGCTCCATTTCTCCGACATTCTGTTTCTCCATTTTTGTCTCGTCTGTCCAAGTGCTTCTTGTTAAGCGCCTATCTTTCTGCTCCTCTCTTCGTTTTAGGCCATTCGTGTGCCAAATTTGCCTTTGTTCACTTTCCCTATGCTTCGATTTTGTTGCGTCCAGGGTCACATTGGTTGCATAAACAGCCTAAACAATGAGTCAACAATCGAATATATCCATCCAACTTCTCTCCTCACCTCGGCTACCACCGATGACTCTGTACCCTCGTCTGTCTGTCTGTCCGTATGTATGTGTTTGTGTGCGCGCTTTTTTGCTTAGTTTGTTTCCTTATGTGTCTCTATGATTCAATGTAACCCATATCACTATTTCTAACCCCTATTTCATACCATCGCCAGGCCACCTTTCTTATCTGCACGGCTGAATCTTCCTCTTTATTGCATCCACTCGCACAGGCCGCTTGTATTTGCATTTATGTTCACTTCACCCCATCCACATGCACACGTTATGCAATCAGCCCTTCCTACCTCCATTCACCCGACCATCTCCGACTCCTCTACATCCGCTGCTTGCTTGCCCATTCTTCCATCGATCGGTGTCTATGTATACTACGTCCGTCTATCAGTGGGGTACTTATTTCGTTACGTCCACTCTCTCTTTCTCTCTTATTTTTTCTATTTCTGGCGTTGCTTTTCACCTTGTTTTTCCAATAGCATGTCTTCGAAACCCAGTTTTTCCGCATGTCATGTCGCCATTTTCGTCATTATGTCTGTCAAAATCGCGCAAAACACGGTCATCGACGCATGAGGTTGCCATAACAACAATCCGGCTCAAAACTCCTCCTAGTTTGTGGGTATGAGCACCAAGAAGGTGTGGCCTCGGGTTCGTCCGGAGTCACCGTTTGCTCTAACCTCATTGTCTGGCCTCGTCTTCGCAACCAGGACGTATTAATCGTGCTCCATTTCGGCATCGGTTCGTTGACCTGGCACCTCCGCAAACGTGTTACCGGCAGGCTCGATGATCAAAGAGGCGAGTGAAGGCATTCCTTCCTGCCACTCTTCCGCTCCCAGCGCTCTCAGCCCCACTTCGAATTGCCAATTTATCTATTCACACATTTCTGTGCCTTTGCTCGGTTGACAGTATTCAATGAGGCGTCGATTTCTCAGTCGGTCCGCCGGCTTTCTGGGACCTAATCTGTACTTTCATCTGACCATTCCCTCCAATCAAAAAGACATCTTCTCCCGGGCTGCACATGAAAATCACTGTCCCATTTCACTAACCGACTACAAAGCCTTGATTGCTGACTCCCGTATTTACTCTCACATGACTAGCCACGAAAAAAGGAGAGAACATGTGCGATTTGCGCTGCCAACTTCCCGCATGATTGAGAAATCCCAGCACCAAATAG